TTTGCTTTATGAAAAGGTTTGTCAGCCTTTTCTACCTCAATTGATTATTTGTTTTGCACTGGTCTAGTGTAACCCACGAAAGTGTTGACAGTCTGTAAAAATGGTTTTTGATGCAGCTCTGGGTAGCTCATCAGGTTGTTCATTTCCTAAAAAGCTCCTGTGACTCGGAATAAAGACTTACCTTATTCCAAGCTGCAAATAACTGTAGAAGCTCGTAACACTTGAGGACCTATTTCAATTTGAAAGTTCAAGAAGACAGAGTTTTAGGAATAGCCGGGCTGTTAGAGTAATTCTCGAGCCAAACGAGTATTTGATGGTATTAGATCTTACGCATAAGTTGATTGTGTGAAAAGCTTAGCTCATTGTATATAAGTTGTGTACTTTGAAATAAATATTAAAATTGAAAGGTCGTACTTAAATTCTAAATAATGTACCTATCAATAGAAGAATAAATAAACCTGTAATAGAAGAATAAAATTTGGAAAGTAATGACAAGTATCCACATGGACATGAATTGAGTAATGCATAATGTTTGACTAGTGAATAGTTCTACTGAATATTTATATCTTCTTATGAAAACTTCTGCTTCATCTTTTAGTACTTTATACTATATACTTCTAGTATTACGTCTTAGTATTAATCCAATCATATTCTTTAAGGAAATTCGGAATAGTATTTATTGTGAGTTTTGACTGTCAACGTGTTCATTTTAATATTAAAAAATGGATTGAGTAAACAAAATCTTAACGGTTCAAAAATCCTGAAAAATAATTAATATATACCATAAAAAAAAGTTTGATAACATTAGGTTTTATTCTCGTTCAGTCTTTTTTTTGTTTTTTTTTTGCTTTACTGGTGTCTTTGCGGTCTTTTGTTATGGCAAAACTTTTATTTCATGTACTGGCACGTGGACCAATAATGCGGAATTCCCTATACAACTATGATAAATACATATTATTCTGTTGCACAACAGGTTCTTGTTGTACAATAAATAATATAAACTAATAAAAATACTTCATTAAATATTTAATTATATTTCTGAATAAAATTGAACTTCGAAATCCACAACTATTTCTTGTATTCCTTTATTGTAAGTAAACCTACAATTTATTTATTTATTTCCTTCTTATTTTTCGATAATATCCATCTCTGATTGAGTTTTATTAGAATAAAGTTTTCTTCATAAAACGGTTGTTGTTGATATGGAAATTTTAGCAAATATTTAGGAAAATTGTTGTTGACAGTTTTTGTTTTATTGTGAAAACATGCTCGACTGAATTGAGTTAATTTCAACGAACAAACTTTTTGATATTTTTATGACTGCACTTGTTTGCAGTCAGAATGTCTTCTGGATTAAGGATATATTTTGAAACCAATATTGGCAATAAAATAATTTTAATGTTGGTTTTAAAATGCAAAATTAATTGTCGACTTTGAGATTTTCAAAATTTGATATAGTAAATGCTCATTACTCATGGGTGCTTTGCCAAGTTTTAAGAGTTTCGTGTCATATTAAGATATATAGAATATGGAAAAGATAATAATATTGTTTTGCCAAGTTTCTGTTACTTTTATTTATGCACAAGCGATCAGAATAAACTTCTGTTTATTCTATATTTATGAACTTTGAAAAAAAAAACACAAAACATCATTTATTTTGTGTTTTAAGCAAAATTATCTAACACTTTCTAGTTTTTGTTTTGGTTTAATCTGTATTTTTCTTTTTTTTTATATTATTAGCTGGCACTTTAACTATTGTCTATTTTCATTTATACGATGAGTGTTTAATAAACCGGTGACCAATGCGTAATATAAATGTTAAAGTATTTTTAAATGATTTTAATCATTTGTCTATACATTAAATTGCTTTTCAATTTTCGTTTGGCTACATTCAACTTTTGTTTTCATAAGAGAGATTTTTATTGATCAGTAGCGATGATTGGAAACAACTATTGATAAAACTGTCCATATATAGTTTTTGTACTTCCTTTTCCAGTCTAACTTCCCCATTCGTCAAGGTTCTCGCGCAATGTCTAAAGTGAATTTAGATTTCCAATTGTTAAACCTATTTGATACATTTTTTCCTTTACTGGAATGAAGTTCTCAGTACTATGTCTTTCACAGTTAAATGGCTGATATATTTCATTATTTGTTGGTAAGAGATGGATTAAGTGGATTAAAGTTCGATATGATGGCTTTTGGTATATTATTAATTTTTTGAATTACAAGTAATCGAGTCAAATGTGAGTCCATGATTCGATTTTTAAAGCTTAGAGTTTAAAAATTATATACAGCATGTTCGGTATAAATACTCTTTATAAGTGTTGTTAGGAAATAATCGAATTTTATTTAATTAGTTTATAGTCCGCATATAATTTGTTTGGACTGCAAGTGCCAGGCTTAGAATGCGTGCCTGTCAAATAAGAAGCGATGACTAATCGTGTTTATCCACAAGTAGCCAAGGCTGCACAAACTCTATGCTCAAGATCCAGGTTTTGTTGTCACTTATTTTGATTTAATTGGTGACACCAACCAAAGCACTTGCCATGCTTTAAATTAGAACGAGCTTATAAACTTCAGCTTTATTTGGAAAATTATTTTATTTTATTTTATTTTTTTTAAAAATATTAAATACTTTTATTCGTGACCAAAAATTATTATTATAATAATTTGTTATCGGGCTAATTGGTCAAATTTAAATAGAAATAAAAAAGACACTAATTTATTATTTATATTTAAAAATCGTTTATATTTTATTAAAAACAATTCTTTCATCTTCAGTTTTCCCTGAAGATGACTATCGAAGATAATCGAAATATTGGAAGAATTATGTTTAATAAAGTATAAACGATTTTTAAATATAAAAAAATAAATTAGTGTCTTTTTTATTTCTATTTTTATTTTTATTGTTATGCGTATTTATTAAATTTGATACACGGACCATTTTTAATCATTTAAATCACTCATACGCTGTGGTGTCTCAAATGACTGTCTTAAATTATTTTAAAACGTTTGCGTTTACTGTCATCTTATTTTATCTGATTCATATTATTATTTCATTATATTATTGCATTATTACTTTTTCATTTTATTTTAAAAATAACACTTTAGAACAATAGCAAACACTAACCATGCTTAAATCACTTTTAAAACTCAATTTGTTTCAATAAAAAGCTTGAAATCAAATGGCAGAATTGATCTGAGTACACCACCTTCAATAAACGATTTTAAAATAAATCGTTTTGTGTGAAGGAAATGGAAATTTAAACTTTGGGAAGCATTTTCCATTCATACTCAGATAGTACTTTTATATAAATGCATATTGTTCTCGGATTTCTCTTCAAGGTAATAAAATAGAAGCACGATTTTTTAACTAAATTATTTTCCTTTTAATTGTAACTCATATTTTTCAGTTTTGTATTTTAAACATAATTTAGACATTGTTTGGAAAATTGCAAACATTAAATAAAAGTTAAGTATTGTTTTCGATCGCATCAAGAAAAAAAATGACATTATGATAAACAAAAAAGTGTTTCAGAAGTTAATACTAAGGCTTACATTGTAACTTATTTCACTTAAAATTCTGTTTCTGTTTCTGTTGCTTTTGTGTGACTTAGATAACAAAAAATGTGAATAAAAATAAAAATAAAAATATTTAAATAGAAATGAAAATACAAATAAAAACTGTTCACAAAGTAGCAACATTTTCATTTTGTCATGTTTTGCCGGCATAATGAGGCTTACAATCCTTTCGAAAGTAACCTTGAGTGCCCATAAGCGCTGAAAATCCTAAATGCGCTTCGTCCTGGCTGCAACTCATTTCCCGCCATTGTTATTCGCTTTCTACAATGAAAGCTCTCCATGCATCATTTTTTGCTTATTTGGCAAATTTTTTTTGTGAACTTGGAAAAATTGTCACTTTTCTTCAGCATTTGTTGGGAGGAGAAAGAAAATAAGGCCAACAACTCCAATGCAAACAATAATTGTTAAGAAAATGTTTGGGAAAATCTTATTGAAAAAACTCAGCACGTAATTTCCGTCAAAGAAAACTTTGCTTGTCTTTACGCTTATTTTCTGCATTCAACCTTTTTCGAAATTTTGATTTATTTTTATTTCTGATGAGAATTTATTTAATCGCATTAAGGATCAGAAAACAAAGTTGAAATGCCAACCCTTATTATAATTTAATTTGGGACCAATTTTGAGAGCGCTTTTAGAATGATTAAAATTTGGTCATATAGCCGAAATGGTGATGGGAAAATATTAAGTGTTTAAAAATTCTTTCTAATAAATTAGCACAATTTTTGACATAATTAACTTAATTATAATTACGAAGAATATATATATATATATTATTTGCGAAAACTGACAGACTCACCAACACCGCGTTATCAAATCTCAAAATAATTACAGGCTCCTCGGGGAGGTATGCAGATCTGAGGTCAATTATTGCTTAGTCTGATGAAGTGATAAATTATAATCTAGTCAAGGTGTAAAGAGGGGTTTTGAAAATACTTCGAGTTTAGAAAGAGTTAAAGTGCTTAAGTGCACTGGTTTAAACAGCTTCAATATAATTCATATATATTTATTAAAAATATATATAGTAGTGAAAGAATACTAAGTGCTTAAAAATGCATTGTATCAATTTAACACAATTTTTAACATAATTAACTTAATTATATTTATAAAAAAAATTTATATTTATTTATTAAAACAATATAAAGTAATGAAAAATGTTAAGCGCTTAAAAGTTCATTGTATCAAATTAACACAATTTTTAACATAATTAACTTAATTATATTTATAAAAAAATATATATTTATTAAAAAATACTTTTATGTCTTTGCAGGTTAATATCAGCCACTTTTTGTGAAGGTAAGTAGTTAGTATTTTGTAATTACCATTACATATGTTGAATGTTATTATGTATAATGTTAGGTGATATAGAAAATACCGATAGGTTTTTAAATAAATTTTATTTAAATATACATATACTATTATTATTTATAATCTGTTACTGTTTTTCTGGTAGCTTCTATAGAAGTTCTGTGATTGATCGGTGAAAAACTTCGTCAAGTGATTTTAAGCAACTGTTCGGCTAGCCAATTTTTTACCTTGAAAAAAATTTTGCAATCATCGCAACAAACAGTAGTCAACTGGTGCAGGGTCTGGACTATACGGTCAATGCATTCAAACTTCCCAATCAAATTTCCTTAATGCATTTCAAGTCATTAAAGTTGTGTGCGGCCTGACATTGTCGAGTTAGACTTTTAATTGTATCGTCCATACAGTCGAGGTTGTAAGCAGTAAATGACCGAGTTAACTGTTTCACCAGGCTATAGCAGCTCGTAATTGACAGCTCCCTTCCAATTCTACCAAACACTGAACAAAACCTTTTTTGGCGTCAATCCAGTCTTTGAAATTGTTTGCGGAGTGTCAACGATCTTTGACCATGATCACTTGCATTGGGTATTGTCATATTTCAACCATATTCCTTCTCTCGTAATGATTTGCTTCAAAAATGGTTCCATTTCGTTACGTTTGAGCAGTATTTTACTGCTGTTTATTCTATCAATCAAATTTCTTTTCTTTAATTCAAGTGGAACACATACATTGAGCTTCTTTCCAAGATTCCCTCGTGTCCTGTAGTTGCTGTTTAATGTCTCTGCTATATCTTGATAGCTTTCGTGTCAGTGTTGTTTCATCTAAAAAAGATAAAACCTTAATACATTTTGTTGAATTTAGGTAACCTAATTGATTTCTCGTCATTTTTAATTAAACAATTCAATATATTGCAAAGAAGTATCTTCTTTAATACTTATTTAGAAGTTAATAGAAGTTAGAATAGAAGTTAAAGCACAAGCAGCAGAAATTTAATTTGATTTATTGTAGGCATTATAACCTACAATAATAAATAAAAGAATCGCACAATACCTTCGTATGTGTTTTAATACAATGTGACTAGAGAACACTTCTGTAAGATAAACAATATTCACGCGGTTCCTGCTAAAGATCCCTGTAGTGGATTTGGTTCTGCTATATACGGACACGTCGTGTTTTATATGATATATCTACCTCCCATTATTAGCTAGTTGCAGAAAGTAGAGGTAAGAGCTTACTAACCCTTATTCTTATAATAGTACTATTTCTTTTGTGATTCATTTAGGGAAGTGCTTAAATGGGCAAGAAAATTCCATATTCAATTGCATTTAATGTTTATATATTCGATCATTTAGATACGAATGGTGTAAGTGAATCGGATTGATCTGCTTATTTCGGAAATCTGCTTTGCATTCTGTACTCTTTACTCTAGTTCTTTTAATGTGAAATATTAAAGTAACCTTATAACCTCATTAGTTTTCTCTAAGTGTATAATGCTGAAAGGGTAATTGTATTTCTATATAACACATTTCAATAAATTGAAATTTAAGTCCGATATAGATGAAGAGGTTCAGAATTTTTTTTGTTTCTTTACCAATTTTTCAAATTTTAATCAATTATTTACTTATTTTTGTTTATTGCTTGTGTATCTGAAATAAAATTTTGGTTTATTAGTTTTCTAACACTTTTTTAACTAGTATTTTTAATTTAATATTTAACAAATGCATTTTAATTATAATAATTGCCAAAGTCATATATATTTATATTTACGAATAACAATGAAAAAAAAAATTTAATTTATAAAAATTTATAAATAATATATCTGAACGATTAAACTGGTGGAATTATAGTTTTAGTTTTATTTATAATAAAAATTTGAATACGAGTATTAACTAGTCAATGCTATTTTTTATGTTTAGTATTACTAATATTTTTTTAAAATTTTTTTTTAGAGAAATACAATCATTTGACCTCTTCTTTTGAATCTTACGTCTTTACATACATACGCACACATACGTTGTCATCTATTTTTTAAAACCCATTATTTTCTCTTTGTTAAACATAAAACTTCTGTAATTTTAATTATTTAACTACTTTTATTCCGTTGTATTTGAAAAACATGTCAATGAAAAAGTTTTGAATTTTGCTTTTTTTCACAAAAACTGTGCATAAATTTGGTCAATTAATGTGGTATCATCGAATATTATTATCTCAAAAATGAGCAGAGAACATTAAAAATTTGTAAAAATGTTATATACCAGAAATAATGACTCTGTAATTAGAAACTCTAAAGCAATGATTTTGCCACAACACAATTTAATTAAAATGATATCGCACGCCCATAAGTATGCAACAAAATATGTCAACTACCTCCATTCGCGAATATTTCACATTATTTAGAGCTCGGTTGCCGTTTCAATCTCGCCAGTCGCCACCCACAAATGTCGGCGGTTGCGGTCATACAAATATACAAACGTTAATGACTATAGCATGGCATATAGTGTATACACATACACAAGCACTGACTCTCAAGCACTGATGGGGCTTATAGTGTGGCATTTCAGTGCTAAAATGGTTAATGTTTTCGGTTGGCATTAGCGGAAGCTGCTATTGCAAAAAAATTTTTATTGGATTTACAATTAGATTATTTTATTAACTTGGCACGAGTTTAGTTTATCCGAACTTTAATTCCTTGCTGTGACAAGAGCTCAGCCCTCCTCCAGCTTATTCATGTGCTAGTAATTATGTGCTACACGGCTTTAATTATAATTTATTAGCGGCCAAATTGAACTTAATTAAAATCTCTGGAGCTTTGCCAAGTGATGTTTCGCTACTGTTCAGCTACATTTTATGCATTTCATTTAAAACATAAATAAAAGTGAAATTATGTGAAAAAAAGTTGTTAAGCACATTTACATTGTAGATTGCTAGGAAATATAAAACAAACTGCAACATTCGCAGCAGAGCATGAAAATTATGTTCTACTTCGTTACTTTTAAAACTTTTTAAATTAAAACTGTAAAATATCCTTTTACTACACGTAAGATACATTTGCAAGATAGTCGCATACGTTGTTCTTCTGTTAAGTAAAATATTGGCTTAGCTGTGTAATGGCATAAGCTGTACCATATGTAACATTCAGATAAACTGGCGCGTTTCGAAATTAAAGATATTATACTTCTTCTTTTGAGGTCGTATATACACGTGTACACGTTTTGCAATATCTTAACTTATGTTACCAATTGTAAGTTTTGCTGCAAATATGTGGAAATACAGAAGTTTTGCTGGAAAATCTGGTACAATGGAGGAAATTATACTTGTATTCTAGCAATAATTCATTTCCTGCAAATATAAAGAATTTTTTGAAAAATCAAAAATGTAGCATTAGTAAATGAAAAACAATCGAATTGATATAAGCAAATTAAGATTAAATTGCTTGAGATATAACAGATTGGCAAAAATATTTTTGAAACAAAAACATAATAACATATATCTTCATGTTAACATCAGATAAATACTATGAAGTAGAAAAATAATAAGCCAAATTTAGGATTAAATAGTTTGATACATAGCAAATTGGTAGAAATATTTTTGACATATAAACATATTAACATAAGCATATAAACATCATACACATATTACTGGATTAAAAAGAAAAAGGTCAAATTTAAGATGAAATAGCTTGAGATACGGTGGATTGGCAGAAATATTCTTGATATAAAAACATTATATTTTGGTTTAATGTAGGTATAGATACAAAGCGTGATTGATAAGTAACGTGCATTTTCAACGTTTTAAAAAAGAACTCATTTATTTTTCAATGGTAATTATAAACTCTTTAAAATAGTCTATCTCCTTCAGTTTATGTGGAGGTTAAGGTGATTCTGCAACAGAACTTCATCTTCCTTGACAATATAATTAACACATAATATACTGCATAAACACAGCCAAAAAAAGCATTATCTATCATATTTTTTTTTCACAGAATCCTGATTACATCATTATCCATCTTCGATATTAAGCAATATAAAAGTATCTGCAATTTTTTATCACTTTATGGTGTTGTTTCCATATGTTCCACAACACCAAACTATATTTTGCACTTAATTCAGCGTAAATTCAAATTTTAGAAGCATTTTTTAACATTCTCCAAAACATACCTCTTTAGACATGTGCTTAATCTCGCCCTGCACTTTAATCTTTATCTTTTTTAAGTCGTGAATAATTTTAAGTTTGGTAATAAACAAAATTTGCAGGGAACCAAGTATAGGAGATAGGATGGTTGTGGAGTTATAGTGAAGTTTAACGCTTTGATCAAAAATTAAGGTAGAATTATAAATACGTTTTAAAATCTTTATTTATTCTACTAAACCTGGTCCATCCCGTTTAAAGTATTCGCTCTCTTTTCAATACACTTAAATTAATTAACGTTTTTACCAATTACAAAAACAATTGCATTAGTCGATTTTAACAATGGGCTTCAATGAGCCTAGCAATCTCCTTTATTGTGTCAAAATTATGTCCTAGCTGCAGTTTTTTAAGCCTTTAGCTATACTTAGCTAGAGCTCATATGTCTTAGTCTTAATGAGATTAATACGATTATTTTAAAACGATATTAGTTGAATTTTTTGCATAAAAGCTTAATCATGTCTAAACAATGCTTCTGGATTAAAATTTTTAGCAATTAAGTCAGCCAAAAGTCACACGATGCTAATACGATAATTTTAGAATGAAAAGCGTTGAATTTTTGGCAAAATGGTATGCAAGAATCAATGTAGTGTGGATTTGCGAATAGCTTCAGGCAAATGTTGCGTACCTCCTTAACAGTTTATCACAACGAAAAAAGTTCATAATGTACCATACCACGAAGAAATCGAAGAAAACTGTTAATAGGTCTTGATTTTTGAACCACTTTGGCGCATAAATTTCCAGTAATTATGCATTTCATTTTATTTTGATAAAAATTATTCTAAACAAGAATTCGCTCTTTTCTGATACAAAACATTTTTTCAATAATCTGGACTACTCTAAATAAAATATTAACATTCTTACATCGACGATTATTGAGCACCAAATCTTTAATTTGTTAACAATTTTTTGACCATCAGTTGATTGTTTTGGTCATCCAATGTTATTTTCGGTTTTTGCGCTTTCTCAATCTTCTTTGAATTATTTATATCACTTCTAAATATTTTTTTCTAATTCGATCTGTTCACCGATAAACTCTGAAAGATTTCCAATGTTTTACCAACGAAAATTTCATTGTGTAAATAAAGTTTACACAAATTCTTTTCTTAACAAAATGACTCTGTAAAAATAGTAAAGTAAACTTTTTCTTTAATAAAATACGAACGTAACTACTGGACAAATGTATACAATTAGGATAGATGTCACTGACAACAGTACTAACTTAGAAAAACAAGTTGCCAGAAATGAAATGCTGTCTAACTTAAACAAATAATTGCAATATATTTTTAAATCACGAACGTATTTTCTTTCCACAGAATGCAATATTTCCAACATGGTTCTAACATATCTACATTTTACTTGTGCAATGCTTTGTCGAAATCTGCAAAAGGGACGTCTTTTTTAGCGATCACATCACAGTGATCTTTTTCTTTGCACAGCCTCATTCCCTCATTCTCCAACTAGATATTATGGATCCTTAATCAACATATTTGATTTGATATTTGATACTTGATTTCGTTAAAATGAAATTAAGTTAATTGTGAAAGTGTTCACACATAGCCCCAAATTAAGGAAATCATTTGTTTTTTGTTTACATATCGAATGTAAAAAATTATATGCTTGAAACGCCATTTGTATCTGGGAAATTTTAAAAGTTGATTATTATAACTATAAATGATGGCATTCAGTAGTTTTGTTAGCTTTACTGGATTTCAGGTATGTGAATTATTATTTTTTACTCTATTCTAAATTAATAATAATTTCCCTATATTCAAATTTAAAAATTTGCACTACCTTCAAAATATTTCCCGGTTTTATTAAAGTCAACTGTTATTGACATTTATTTGAAAAAAATGTCACTTTTTCGTTATCTCAACTTTATCTTTTGCTTAAAATTTATCTTATATCTGATCTTATAGTTGCTTTTGAAATGTCCATTAATTTCAGCGTTGGCCTCAACGAAATTAAGTCGATTTTCCCCAATTTCGTTCTAACTTCAAAACTGAATTTTGTGTGGAAAAACAATTTAATTTCGCTGAAATGAAGATGAATTGAAGATTTTTTCGAAATTAAGGTGTGTCTGAAAATAGTAATATATAATTTTTTTTTTACAAGTAACAGAATAAATTAAATTTTATAATTTATAATTTAAATATATTAATTTTTATAATATATATTTATTTATAATTATTAATATCTGCAAGTTACACTTTATACGTAATTATAATTCAGTCCGATCTATAGAAGCAGGGGTTCCTCAGGGATCGCCACTTTCCCCCATTCTCTACAACATTTATACGTGTATGCTATACTCAGATAAATGTGCTCTCAACATAACGAACACACTTCAAGAGCATATAAACCTCATTCTGGAGTATTTTCAGAAATGGAAAATAAAAATCAATAATGAAAAAACTAAGGCTCTGTTTATAACGCGTAAGTGGAGACAGAATCCGTCGAGAGTGAGAGAGGGTGATATGGTGATAAACTGGGAGGATAGCGTTAAATATCTTGGCATCACGTTGGACAAACGATTCACATGGCTTAAACATGTTCAACTGAAAAGAATTAGCTGTACTAAAATTCTTCATTACCTCCAACCGCTATTTAGAAAAGAAAACCTCAATGCTAAGAACAGGAAACTGATATATAACCAAATAATTTGTCCGTCACTTCTATATGGTTGTGTAGCGTTTAGCAAAGCTTCAAACACAACTATTCACCAATTAGAAATTGCACAAAGCCAGGCTCTGAGAAGACTTTTCAAAGTTCCTTGGTATATTAGGACGAATGACATCCTTAGGGACCTCAAGATTGATCCCATCAAAAAATGCATAAAGGATAGAGTCCTGAAATTATTTGCGAAATCTGACGGACTTACTAACACCGCATTATCAAATCTCAGAATGGTTACAAGCTCCTCGGGGAGGTATGCAGATCTGAGGTCAATTATTACTTAGTCTGATGATGTGATAAATAATAATCCAGTCAAGGCGCAAAGAGGGGTTTTGAAGAAACCTCGCAGTTAATATAGAGTAAAAGTGCTCAGGTGCACTGACTCAACTTCCCTCAACATAATAATAATTAATTTTCATATCTTTAATAAAGTTAAATGCAATTAAAAATATTTTTAATATTCATTTATATCTACACTTATCTTCATACCACAAGGACAATTGTCACGTATACGCACTGTAGTGCTGCATTTTTACCCAGTAAAACACGACAGAAACAGTATTTCATATTAAAAAGATAATTTTATTATTTTATCTATATTGTAGAATGAATAGTATTCATTAAAAAAAATATTAAGTTTCATTTTGTTATTCGTCCTGCATTAAACTTGTTCATTTTGGTAAATTAAGTGATAATAATGATAATTTTATGTGAACTGAATGGTTTTATGGTGTTTATTCAGCTACATTAAATTTATAATTTTATAATATATGTTGATTTATTTTCACTGCACACAAGTGACACTAAATGAACCTAATTATTTGTTAGGGATTCACTCCTGCGCTGCAATCAGCAATAAAAATGCGACCAGTCAATTAAGGAACGTTAACAAAAGCCAATAAATTTATTCGACCATAAAAATTGGTATTCTTTGGTTTTATTTTATTAAATTTTTTTCTACGTGAAACTTTTATTGATTGAATTAAACATCTATTATATATGGTATATTACGAAACAGTAAAATTTAACTGATTTTTAATATCACTGAGTCATAAAAATGAACGATAGTTGCGAAAAATGATCACTGAAGTAAATTTCATTTTAATTGCAGTTTAAATTTTCTTTGGTGAAGACTCGACAAAAGCACTTCGAATAAAATGAAAAACCCATATTACATCTAATTTAATTTGAGGGAAATAAGTTGAAATTTATGATAGCTGCACTAAAAAGTTAAACTAATTATTTCTGAATTTTATTAAAACAAAATTCTAGCACAAAAAAGTGTATAACTTTCTTGTTTTGTGAGTTCTTTATTGTTGCTGTAAAAATGTCTTAGTAAATTGTTCATCTCATCTCCATGTGAAAGTCGAAAAGTTTTTAGATAGTTTCTGTTGCCAAATTATTTAGCACATTTTTCAGTTGATTGTGCTCAAGATACAGGACTGCGAGTGAAAAAGTTTGAATTTCAAACTTTTCATATATACTATTTTATATTTTTATATTTCTGAAATACTTATTCGCATTCGTATGTCAATGGTATTATTATCATTTGTAATGCAAGGGATTTGTAAGGAAATGCATTGCGTAAAAGAAAATTCAGCTTTCGAGCACTTTTTGTTCATAAAAATGCAAACAACAGCGGAACTTAGTTAAGAAAATAAAAACTTGCATGGAAATTAGAAAAATAATGAAAATATGCAAAAAGAAAAACTCATAATGAAGCTAATGAATTTTCAACTTTTCATTTTTTAAAATGAAAACTTTAGAAACATGCTGGAATGACTAATTTTTTGAATAGTTATTGAGTTAATTTTCTTTAAAAATTTGTAGAAGTTAGCACGATTTTTTATTATTTAAAGAAAATGTATATAGAAACTTCTATATGGATGTATAGCGTTTAGCAAAGCTTCAAACACTACTATTCGCCAGCTAGAAATTGCACAAAGACAGGCTCTGAGAAGACTTTTCAAGGTATCATGGTACATTAGGACGAATGACATCCTCAGGGAGCTCAAGATTGAACCGAGCAAAAAATACATAAAAGATAGAGCCCTGAAATTATTCACGAAAACGAACAGGCTCCTCGGGGAGTTATGCAGATCTGAGTTCAATTATTGCTTAGTCTGATGAAGTGATAAACAATAATCCAGTCAAGGCGTAGCGAGAGGTTATGAAGAGTCTTCGCAGTTAATAGAGAGTAAAAGTGCACAAGTGCACTGACTCAACTAGCATCAATACAATATATAGGAACTTATCTTTCGTACATCAATATGCAAAGTTTTACCTTACCTGCTTTATCGTCATCAAATGGGAATAAAAGTAATATTCTACGAAAGAAAACGAAACGTTTATGTGCAAAGTATAAGTTCATTATAGGGTTAACAGCAAATTTTGGTTTATTACGTTTATTTGTAATGGCTGATTGGTATATACCATTTCGCCACACATCATAAGCAATTAATATAATATTGCATTTATCACAAGACATCCCTGTAGATGAGGTAGAGCCATCTAGTTGATCTAATTTATTAGTTCTTTTCTTCTTACTGAAGAACATTCTGACAGACTGAAGAAAATCTATTCCTTCTGTTAATCAAAGCACAGCAATCTCAGAAATACTGTATGATTATCTCTTCATGATATAAGTTTATTTTAATATCACATTTCTCACAAGACATCACTATACCTAGATGAATTAGATTTAGCCAAGTTTTCTTGATTTATTGGTTCCTTTCTTCTTACCGAAGAACATTCTGACACTGTAGCGAAAGTAATTCTTTACAAATCTGTTCCTTCTGTTGGTCAAAGCACAGTAGTCTCAGAAAAAGTGTATGATTATCTCTTCTTGATAAAAGTTTCTGCAACTCCTACAATAAGTGTTAAAACAAAAGGCATAATTTTTGTACATCTAAATACCAGTGATCTCAAAAGTAGTTTACTTCAGCACTGGCAGTATGAACTAAGTCATATAATTAAGTTTTTCGGTTCTAGTCATACTGTAAGGTCAGGTTGATCAGGATGTTTTGCTTCTCTATAAAGCTTTTTCTTTTATCAGCCACAGCAAAGCAGTTTTAGAGATAGTATGCAACTTCTATAGTAAGTGTTGAACAAAAACTGTAGTATTTTTTTGATTAGGATACCATACACCAATAATCTGAAAAATTTCAATTTGACTAGCAGTATGACTCAGCTCTTTTTATAAGTTCAGCTCTTATTATAAGTACTCTATATCTGGTCTGTTATTTCATAAAGAATTATGTCTTGTTGTTTGAAGTCCAGATAAATCGGTATATTTGACATGATGTGTTCTCTATTATAAGCTATCTGAAAAAAGTTAAGATAGGTTCTGTTTTTGATAGTCTTAATTGGGGACAATATATTATTACCACTAAAGAGATATCCATAGAAATTGAACTGACTATTTTTGCATTCCCTTCAATGTTCTTATGAGCATGAAATATTATAAGATAAATATTTTCAAATTGATTTTGACTGCCGACTTTTTCTTACTAGTTTGATTTAATGATTAAGTGCTTTAATTGTCGATTGAATGCTAACTTTAGAACTATCTTTGATTTGAATTGTAATTAATCGACATGATTTACTAATCGCCAAGATCTCAGTTTGAAAAAATGAGGTTTCATTGAGTTTGTTATAATGAGTATACTTTTTCCAGTGTGTCGCGTATCAAACAGATTTTCTTCAATAAAATCACACTAGTACTTTTTAAGTATAAACAAAAAATTACTGTTTTAAAAGATTTTGCTAAAAATTTTTATTTGGTACATATCAAAATGGAATAAATGGTCAAAATCAGTATTTACTATAATAAATTCTTACTAGTACTTTCTAAGTATATGCAAAAAATTAGACTGCTTTGGGATATCTTCTTAAAAATTTTTATTTGGTACTTACATTTCAAAGTGGAATAAACGGTCAAAATCAGCTTCAGCAGAGAGAAGTTCCTCTTTTGTAATAATAATTTGATCAAATGTTGTTATTGGCTTAAGATCGTCATATATCACAGCTGGACTTTTCTGGAATTTATTTTTCTTACAAACGGAACTTGCAGTTTGGAAATTTGATACAGTCTTTTGCTTAGCTAAAGATTTTGAACTCATTATTGAACCTTGAGCAGTAACATATGAGTCAACGGATTTATTAGAATATGCAGAATTTACACGTTTGAACTGGTCATCTTGACCAACTATTTTTTTTAATTGTGATGTCTGTGTTTGATTCTTCCTTCCCACATTTGATGGCTTGATGCCAAAATATTTAGCATATCGTTCATCAACAATTTGTGCCTGTTTTTGACAGTTGACACAAAATACATTATTATTGCTGACTAATAAGACAGGAGAAGGTGATTTGTACAAATGATTGAAACTCTCTATTTTTTGACGCACATTTATATTGTCGAATCTATCAACATTATAACTGGTAGACTTCGTATTTCCTGCGAAAGTATTCTTATGCTTTAAAAATTGATTAAATCCTTTTGTTAGCTGCTCTTCTTTGTAGCGAACATTATTTCCAATAGTATGTGGTTTTATTTTTTCTATTGGTTTCTTTATGAAGTCATTCGAACCGCTTCTCGTATTAATCTTTGAGGGAAACACATTTTCATTACTATTGTGCTTTTGAGCATCAGAAAAATACAATGAGGAGTTAGATTGCGATTTCAACTTCAGCACAGATGAAACATGACTGCTTGGCATTTCATTTGGCATAATTAGTGAAAGAGGCGTTCTTGATGCATTTGTTAAGCCTGTTTTTGAACGCTTACACCTTAAGGCTAAATCAAAAGATTTCTTATCTACTATCGTGGTATTGGCTCGGGTTGAGTCCTTTTTACCAACTTTTGGAATTACTGTGATTGCATTTTTACTTTTAAATTTTGATACTTCTAAAGGTGTGCTTTGCTGAACATAACTTTTATTGGTATCAAATTTTATTCCTTTGATGTCAGTACCACCAGAACTATACATTGGTACATTCGAACTTTGATACTTTACGTCTTTACCGAGTTCGTTGAAGAAACGAAGCCTTTCGGACAATGGAAAACGGGATGGCTCAGATTTCTGATTCAAAATTGCACTTTTATTAGAGTTCTTTTTGATGTCATTATATATAACTTTCTTTGAATGTTGACAACTGCATTTGAAGTCCTTAGGTGACGTATTTTGATCCAGTAAGTTTTCAAACATTTTTGCTCGTTCCCGTACTGAATATTTTAAAGAGGTATCATCCACTTTCGTCTCATTTTTAGGTACTGATTTCATGACTGGATGTGATTTCCCTTTGCTTTCCGGCATTTTAATTAATAGAAGACAATTTTTTTTTACATCAAAACTTTTTTAATCTGTTAACATCGGAATCAGTTGCTGAAAGAATAGAAACAGATTAAGTGGTTTTCAATCTTAACAATTTTGTGATTTGTTATGTTTTACCTGAACTTCTTAAATTTGTGTTGAATTTAATTTAGTTGTAGTAATTTCTATACCACAAAAAGTTTACAAAAAGCACACCAAAAATTACTTCTATTACATTTTAACTATTAGTTGTACCAAATGAATTACACATTATAAAATTTTATGATACTAATTTAAATTTTTAAACTATAATTTCAATTTTCAAATTTAAAATAACTTTTTTAAATGTACACTGACAAAGTTTGATTATTTTAATATTTAAAAAAAAAAACTAAGCTTCAGTTGCTTAGATTAAAATATTATTTATTTTGTTTGTAGTTTGGTACTAACTCAATTTTAATTAAAAATATTTTTGCACAAAATGTGATATATATATATAGTAATATAGTATACAGCTGACAGCTGACCATCTTGATAAAAACAGGGGAAGAAATCAGTGGGGGTTTTTGTATTCGTACGGTGAGTTCCAGTTAAATATTAATATTGTATGATGTATGTATGATAAAATAAATTATTAAAAATATCTGACATTTAAAAGCACATTTTTGTGTGAAAATTGTATAGATTTTGTATGGTAAAAGCACACATATTGTGGTACATTTATCGAGTTGATAATGTTGTACTTTTGTGATTTTGAAATCTGGATCCAATTCAGATTTTTTCTCGATCGAACATGTTTAGAATATAAAGAGTATATATTCCAATAAAATATCCAATAAAATTACAATTTATAAGTTAAATCATACAAAACAGTTGTGTATATAGTATTATAAATTAATCTCGAGTGTTGCACATTTCGCTCGAGTTTCGCCAATCTAAAATGAAAATTGCTCTAAAAGCGTATTTAAAGCGCATCTTGATTAAAAAAATAACTCTAGAGTTACCAATTGAAAACGCCATGTAATTGAACAAGCACTTAAAATTTATTATTTTGCTTTCAGCCGATTTATTATATGTGAGCACATATTTGAGTTTAATTAGTGGATATAGACTTAGATAACTTATGAAATGTGTAACCTAAAATGATCAACAAATGATTATAAATAATTTTGGTTCCTTACAATTATATATCCTAGTATAGTTTATAACTATAGTTTTCTAGTATAACGCACACAGCTATTAGTACGGTTAACACGATATTGAAAATGTTAGGGTGCCAATGTTAACACAACTAAGTATGCTATCCTACGATTTTCTATCCAATTCTTCAATCAAAAGAAATATTCCATTGATAATGTTTTTAAGCAGTAACAGGCATTAAAAACGCAGAATTGCAAAATGTGTTCAAGACCTACTCATTGTTACTAGGTAGTGCTTGACATCAGCAACACATATGCTTGAAGATATTGTAAGCAAATGCAGCAGCCATTTCAAACCCAGCTTTCATAGAATAAATATACACAAATTATTGTAAATAACATCTCCTGATGATGATATATTTTTTCCCCCTAAAAGCCTTCTTTGCTAAGGCTCTAAGTACAGAGTCTCATAATTTCTCCTAATATCTGTTAACTGTTAGTTATCTCGCTGATATTCAGTTTATCGGCATTCGAAATGATTTCAAGAACCATACATATTTTAAATCTTTAATATTTTTCTGGAGATACATTACATTACATACATTTTCCAATATGTGTGGTTATATTTGAACTAATCAGATTAGTGAGAACTTTGTAAGTTTTGAAGAAACAACATTTTTCGAGCCTTTTTTAAGTTGTCAGATTTTTTTTATTATATAAATTAACTTAAGCAATTGTTTTCTTTTCTTTGTTTCGCAAAATCCAAAAATCTGAAAGATATATATAAAAATATATCCATATGATATATTTCCTGCTATCTTTATTAATTGTGAAGGTTAGATAAAAAAAGATTTTGGATTAAATAAAAACATGATTTTTTTGAGTACTTAAAACATCTCACATACCATATAACATACATGGAACTCATGTACACATATCATTTATTTATAACAGCAAAATATAGGGGGTTACGGAAGCAGGAGAACACCCAGGAAATATCACGTACGCAAACGCATGCATTAAGTACGGCATGCATGTCCTTGTGTACTTTACATGCGAAAGATTTCAAATGATCACCACTCAACATTTGCAATTTGGTATATTAAAGGTCAGGTGTACGTACATGATTAATAAGCACAATCCTTTCATTATTGTGCATTTAAATTTATAAATAAATAATAAATATATCTGCGTCCACAATACTGTAGCGTCACTTAAACAATTGTGACACAATGACTAATGGCCAGAATGTCATGAAATTTCGGCACGTACCATTTACAGGTTACCAGGTTACCACTTTCTGGAAATTACATGCATTTTGTATGAGTAGCATTGCTTAATGGTTGACTTACTGAGTGACGAAAATATAAATTGGTTGTAACTCAAATTAAGTATACAACATGCCTTAAGTCATATATTTTAACAAAATAGTCGTATAAAATCCATGTCTTAAGTAATTTAACATTCTAAATCAAATATTTAAAATTTGTTGAGTTCTTTAAATTTATGAAAAACCCATTTGTCATATTAAATCATTGGTTTAAAAAGCTAGCAAAATGCTCCTTGAAATAACTGAGTGAATGTGTCAGCTTCAAATAGAATAAATGAGTATCCTTAGCTCATTTTAAATCAAGCAAGCCAAAATGCAATTTGCTGAAAGATTGAGACGTGACTGCAAAAGAAAAATTTCTAAATTTGTATTAAAGCTACCAGATAAATTGAAATTGAAATATTGTAACTAAGAAGATTAATAAGCATTGAAGAAATGTTGATAGTAGCAGCAATTTTGATATACGAATATTTATAAACCAAAAAATGGTTTTTTGATACTAATAGTTTGTATAATTAATTGTATAAGTAATTAGTAAAATATGTTGAAATTTTAGAATTTTCAATATTTTGCAATTTATGCAAAATGATTTTTCTATAGGAGTACATATATTGGCATAATGAGAATTTTATATACTAGGTATATATTGAATCACATACCCGAAACCAAAAAAAAATTAAACTCAAGCTATTGTAAGATGCAAAAGTGATACGAAATTAATTTTGGCTGTCTATAAAATATTCTTTAACATATGATAAATATTCAAATCATAATTAGCAGTCATTATTGGAAAATATTAAAGGGAACTTTAATGAAAAGAATTCACTCTGTATTAAATATATTAATGGAGATGGATAATAGACAAAAATAGTGACTAAAAAGTAACTAAATTTTTATTCTTGCCTTTACTCTTCTATTCGAACCCTTCTAACTTATAGAGTAATAAAATAATATAACGATTATTGGGTGTAATAAATAAAACTCTGTTTTATAGACAAATAATTAAACCTAATTTAGTTTTTTTTTTCTCTAATGGCAATGCTGTTTCGTCCACCATTAGAAAACGTCCACTATTTGACAAGATTGATGTCAAAATACTGTATTAAGACGATACAATATCAAGATGGTGTAAAAGTACATCAAATACACAGAACTGCAATTATTTAATTCTATGAATTACTTACTTATAAACCTGGCTGACAGAGCCAAATCGATCAATGGCTTACTGTCGCCACTTAATAGTACCAGTAACCACCATATTATTTGTCATCTGGTTCTTTCAACAAAGATACGAACATCCTCTACCGCGTTTTTCGTCAGCGAGTACCAAATCAAATATCATGCCAGTCGAAGCCAGCTAACCCGCTGCATTTTATGCGCTAGCTATATTAATTCGATACTCGTTACCAAAGCGTAAAGGACCATAGATCTTCTGAAGAATTCTGAAGAATGCTCCTAACGTTTTTTTATCACTGTTGGTTGTTATCCAAGCTATTGCACAGCAGAATATTCATGATAAGAGATTTGTAGAGCGTGATGTTTGTTTGTCGAAGGAAAGCTTTATTTCTCAATTGTCTACCTACTCAACCCGAAATAACATCTGTTGGCAAGAATGAGTCTTCGTTAAATCTCTAGGCTGTTGTCATTTTTGGTGATTACACTTGTTCTGAAAAAAAAAACAATTTTCATAAACATAAACCACAATGTTGCGGTGTAGCTCATAGAGCTCATCGTTTCATCTAATACGGTATGACGCCAACGCGTAAGAGACCCAATCCGGAAGAAGAATTGTTTTCTTATGTACTTCTAATGCGTTTTCATAAATGTAGGGGTAAATATGGAAGCTTCTACAACACTCAGGCGCTTTTTTACCAACAATTGTCAAAAATGTGAAATCTAAACGAATTTCTTAACTTACTGAAGAGGGTTCAATTTTCTTCCTACTTCACCTACACTTCACCTACCTCTAACTGCATAATACTAAAACGTGTGGTTGATTAATCTATTATATTTTTCTACAATATAAGCTAAACAAATATAATATTTCCATATTAGCTATTGAAAAGTGTAAACTGCATCATTCATCGTTAATGTCAAATCGAACGTATTTCATATTTAGATCTAATTCGATAATACTTACGCACACGTAGGAAAATAGAAAATCACTTGGTTGAAATTGCTCACGTAAGCAATTTGAACGGATAAAAAGCATTTCATCTAGTTTTCCACAATTCCGTTTCTGTTGAAATAAAAGTCATAAAAGCCATTGAAGCAAATAAAAAATAATAATAAAAATTTTATTGCATTTCAATAATTTCTAAACTCTTTAAAACTTTCTATACGTAAAGGATGTCAGAAATAATGAAGAAAAAACAAAAGTAAAGAATCAAGTGCAGCTTAAATAACAAATGAGTTATGATGAAAAACATGCCCTTTAGACATTTCATTTGTCTTGCCATCAAAATTTTTTTATTTTATATTTTTATATTATTTTCTTTTCAAGTATAGATTCCTTTAAAGAATTTCATCCTGCACTCTATTAAGTTCCTTTTATTCTTCAAAGTCAGTGCATGGAATGCACTTAATACCAGCGTAATCACTCTAACCGATGACTGAATTCCAAACTGAAGTACTTTACAAATATTTACTTCATTCAACAACAGAGCAGATTATTAACCTAAATCCAAGAAAAAATATTAAAGCGAACCGAATGAAAGAAAGGACACCCTGACTGCAATACAACTTAACGTAGAAATTTTCAAGGGAAACGAATTTTCTGCAATTTCTTACGTTTTTCTGGTCTTGTGAAGAAACACAAAAGTTAATCTTC